AGTGAGCCTTGGAGAACGAAGGGGGGACGTGGACATCCACCACAAATGCACCATAGCAGTATTTTCGACTCAATATGCTTTTGGCCATTGACCTTTCGGGTTCGTTGTTGTCACGCTTCAGACATTTCCGAAGAATCCTGATGTATCGCTTGACCAGTCACAGGATTTGCATTCCCAGTTCACTAGCTGATGCATTGCATTCCATTAATGATGGTTTTGTTTTATCTGTAGGCCGTACGTGACAGCGTCTAAATCAATAATATCCTTTCAAAAAATTTCAGCAGCTTTGACAACGCGCTGGAGACGCTGCGATGACTCATGCGTTTTCACATCTGGGACGCCGTGCTCACGGCTGTGGCCGCGCGCTCGTTCGGCTGTCTCTTAACGCTAACCAATTCCCCACAAGTTCTGTCCAGAATACACTGTTCCTCCCGCCTGGCGTCCCACCGCTTCTCTTCGCACACAGAACCGGACCTGAAGGTCTTATCGGCTAGGGTCCTCGCTATTTGGCCACTGCAATAGTCACGCTCTGCACTCCGCAGAGCATTTTTCGTTCATTGGCGCTGTTTTGCACGTGGGTTTGCCGCAGCCGCAGCCGTCGTGAAAAAAATCGATGGGCCTTTTAGGCCCTTTTAAACGTGTATGGCAAGCGGCACATACAGCCTGATGTCTGTTGTATCTTTCAGTTAATCCCTGAGATTTTGAGGCTTCAAAATTTAACTGCCCCAACTGATCTAATTACCATTTTATTCATAGCAATGCGCATTCATGTCATCTTTTTCGTGCGACGATCTGACTAGCAACCTGGGGAAAAATGAGCCGAGCACTTCCACAAAAAATCTCCCTCGACCAGCAAGTGCCTCATACATGCACACAAAGACCTACAAAGAATTTGGCGGTCGCTCTCGAGAACGTGTTGTCAATTCCTGTCCCTTGATTGATGACCGTTCCAATTCTGCGTCACCTACGCGACGGCAGCCTCATCCAGCTGGCATGCAAGCTCTTGGAGGATTTTTTGGTCAACCACTTGGGAATGAAGACCGTGTCTTGGAGTGGCCGCCACCAGAACCGAGGCCTTTCTTTATACGACCAATGATTACAACCTTCGCAATGTTGGGGCCCCGTCCGTTCCCACCACACAACCCAAACGTCTGGTTTTTTGGGCCTACAGCAAACGTCCAACAGCTTGTGTTTGACGATGAACCGGACATCATCGAGGATGGGAACCCTCCGGAATTACTTCATGCCCAGAGCTCTGGTCTCCATCGAACCTCCTCTCAACTTTCTTCTTCATCGGGTGACGAAGGAAGTAGTGAGGACGACTCTCCCCGTGGTTCACTAGTTATTCATAATGTGGATAACAGCATGTTCCTAGATGTGCCCGCTTCGCAGACAGAGACGGGTGAAGGTCCACCAACGATACAACAAACAAGAAGACCCCCTCAGCGCACTGCTGTACAGGAAGAAGGCTATACAATCGAAACGCCTGGCATCTCAACAGTACCCTCGTCCGAAAATCTCCATGACGCGATACAGGTGCAGCAGAGGATAATCGAGCCACCTCCACGTCAGATCGTCTTTATCGTAATGGACACCAACGGGGCAGGCGCCGATCTCGACGATTCATTTCCTTTCATGTTAAATGATATTCAGTGGGCCATGCAGCAAATGGTCAGTGAACTGAGCAGCGAGTCGATAGATGGCTGAAATTCTCGGATCTGCTAATTTTTCTGAAATATCAGCTTATTCGGCCTCCTAAATGCTGCCCTGTCAGTCCCTCGGAAACTTAAACGGTTTCATT